GAAGATGATTAGTAAGAAATATATTACTATGAAAGCAACCTAAAGAAGATATTCAATATTTTCTCTTTAAACTAGCGAAAATTTTTTCATGCTCAAGCAATATGAAAACTTAAATAAAATTATTAACTGGTACGTTGCGCTGAAATGGCCTAATTAAAGAGCTTAAACGAGTGGAATAAACAATAAAAAGGCCTATTCTGTAGCAAGTTAGCATGAATCTTCAGTAAGGCAAAACTTAATGGCGCAGTGTAGAGTAAATGAAACAGATAAGATTAGCATGGTCCGAAAGTGTTTACTAAATTCTAGATATTCTAAAAGCATGGAATCCTACTTTTCCCTTATACCTACTTGAAGTTGCTTGTCCATAACTTATGGGAGTTGCAATTCAAAAAATGCTATAAAGTAGTGACAATTGTAGGCAAACGCATAAAAGAGAATTGCACAGTCTAACTAGACAGAATCAAGACAGGCTTGGCAGCAAATTCCAGGGGTACCAGGGGTACCGAATTCAATGAAGAATGTATGATTATGTGTCTATGCCAATGGAGGCAAAGCTATGAAGAGGTGATCATAGCGATGATAATTTATAAAGAAAATAACGATATTAATAAAAATATAACTAAGTTTGTATTCAAGAATTACTTTTAGCTTCGAAGCATGTCGAATATAATGTCTCATTGACAATGCCAGTATAGTGCGATTTAGGAGAGGCCTTTTAAGTGGCACCCATTGTGTAGCTGAGTGATAAAATGTAACCACAGTGTGCATGAATGTCCAAAATCCCGTAGAGGATGTTGATTGGACCTAGGCTAAGTCGAAAGGCAGTATAGTTTAGATGAGAAAACTTTTGGGTACACAAGGCTTAACGAAATTCATTGGTAGAGCAGGAGCTGACCATTTTATTTTTTTAATAAAAACTTCATTTTTAAGTGATCTGAACTGCAAAAAATCAAGGCGAGCATATGGCTTCTTAAGGTAACCCTTAATCATCATCTTTTCACATGTTAAACGTCCCCCAGAAATATGAAATTATCGAATCGCGATTTAAATAAAAGATTTAGAATCAGCCGCAAAGTTTTATATAGACATTAAAATAGTAAATCTAAGGCAAGGTATTCTTGTGGTACTTTAGCATTCCGTTTCAGTGGTCAATACCTGTAAGGAAAATAATTGTAATGTTAATAACAGCTTTTATCTCCATCTCGATCTACAACTACCGCAAGTGTACAAAATTGGAAGGAAGTCAGTATGATTTGACCTCCCATTCACACTTATCGCCTATTATTAACAACTAAGATATGCTCCGCTTCAGATCACTGGAATTATGGCTTATTGCGATCAGAAGACGATCAAACTTGTCTTCAAGTGGTTACCTATGTAAGAATAGTTCTTACAGAAATTTATCGCTACCATACAATATGACCTCAAATTACCTGGAATTTCAGCGGTATTCATGTGACGAATTTTCGTTTCGAATGTACAATTTATTGCAAGTAAATTGAGAATTAGTCTCATCAGAAATGGGAAGATTAGCCTTGAGGGGTAAAGACATCGATTGTATGAAGAAGTCTTCAGATCCCCGTCCTGAGAACCCGATGAATCTGTGCCAAGTTCTGGTAAGAGCGAGTAAACGAACACTACGAAACATCGCACCAAATATGATAAACCAAAAAAGCAAGGGTGACCTGGTTCAATCATATGCCCTTATTGTACCTAATGTTGTGAGCCTACTTAGACTATGCATGAATTGGTTGAAATCTTCATGTCTATCATACATTTTTGAAAATGGTATGGGTTGATGCTTAAAAATGAAGTGGATACAGAGGCAGCTTATTCTTTGCCTAAATCAATGATTCCCAACCTGTGCGCCGCGGCCTCTTTACAGGGGCGCCGCGAAATATTGTAATAGCTTCAATTTGAGAAAATGTGTTGTGATTTACAGGCTCATCCCTCACATTAATTATTAAATATTAATTTAATGTTAATAAAGTAAAAAAATGAAGATACACGAGTTTTATTTTTTTATCTCATACTAACGAATAGTCATACTTAGGGTAGGGCGCCATGAAAAAATTTTAATTGAAAAAGGGCGCCGCGACAGGGAAAAGTTTGGGAACCGCTGGCCTAAATAATCAAAGATGGGATGCTGCCCTGTTTAGTTTTGCTTACTGTGTGTATGCAATAGCCACGTTATGCAAAGTGGTTTTGGCAACGCAGAAAAGATTAGTTAGATGAATTTCTGGCGATAATTAATAAATTATATAGAATAACTAAATTGACTATTGAGTTAAATAAGGACGATAAGTTAGGTTTTCTGGTTGTCTTATTAACAAAAGAAGGTAGGTAGGTCCATGCACGCAGGCCACACTCCTAATTTATTTTACAATCACGTATATAGGATAACATCCAAGCATACTATTAGGAAGGCTAAAGAAACAAACAAAACAGCGAACTTCTTGAATGTGGGAAACAAGCGTAATAAATTGAGTGGGAAATAGCCAAACAAATCGGGTCACCCCTGGTTTCTTGGCCTATTATATTTAGTGCACTTTTTCGCAAAGTATCGAATCTCGATCTGAGGATGTGTGCGACATGGCAGACGAAAGCTTAGCACGGGTTAATCGGTAGCCAGGGGATTTGTTCGCCATGCAAAGCAATCCTCCTTCGGTTTCCAGAAAGATCCATTTAAGAATTCATTTAAACCAACTTCTTTTAAATGAAAAGTCATGTAAGTAAGTAAGCTCTTCATTCTCCACATTATGTTCTTAATCACAACTAAGAGGTGCTATGTTGCTACGGGTCTTTCGTCTGATTTAGACAATAACTCGTTGGCCTGGAAAAGAAACTGTAATTTGTAAATTTCACATAGAGCTAATAGAAGCGAGTCTACAGAGGTGATACTCTTACCCTAAGCAGCACAGCCCTAACCCAGAAATAGTAAACAACATCAGTTCATGAAACGACAGGCATAGATCTGGTAAGGTAAAAATTGATAAAATATGATATGTTCAACTATCAATCTTTAATCACCTTATGCAACCACTCATCCCCAATAAATGGAAGCTTGGAAATCAAGTAAGCTGAACTTGCCCGAGCATTTGCATCAACACCTAAATTCATAAGAAAGACTCGTCCTATGACATGATTCACGTGTGCCCACCGACAAGATGCATCATTTCTCGTGTCGCTCTACGGGCACTGATTGTAATGCTGCCCAGTATGAGGTGAAGAAGAGGCTCAGTGTTGCTATTCGCCTTTCACAAAGAAACGCTTATATTTAAGGATGAACAGCAATAGTAAGCCCACTGGGCGTTCGGAGATAAAGCTACAGAAAATTGACGAAAAAAGTTTACATTAATAAGATGCTGAATAGATCTCGACATTTGGATCGGTGATAAGTAGTCATCAGGATCCAGACACCAACGTTGGACAGCGCTGGTTTAGAGGCCGAAGAAAGAGAAGCACAAAGGTTGCCATTTGGAGGACGAAGAAACCCAAGTCTATCGATTTTCGCCTCTAACGAAAAGCCGACTAAGCTGGGATCACAAAGAATGGACAGACCGCAGCCACCCTTTAAACCATTCGTGTTAAGATTGATGGTGCACATTTACATCAGTCTGTCGGCTTGTAACACCGCCACCATCGAAGTGAGTTCCACTTTGTAAAAAAACAGCCCCGACCACCAGGCAATTGAGCCCAGTGCATGATCACGACTGTGGCCAAGTGAAGGCAGGCGGAAAGCAAGCACTCGGGTCCTTCATCCTCCCCCTTCCCTCCAGTGAGAAATGGCGGGCCAATTTGAAATTCGCTAAACCATGGGGATGTCCGGTGAGGCTCATTCTTTGTCCTCTTACTGGGCCGGCAGGTCTGAGTAGTGCCAGGACGATGAACACTTTCAAATCTCCGCTGGGCCACCTTGATCTGATCAGCTCGCTGCTCGACCAAAATGAGGGACAGACTATCAGAACGAGCACCCCGAGCACCACGACAATTGGGAAGGAGTCGGAAAGGTCGAGGGCTGGCTCAACTGAGGAGTCGGTCTCCTCGATCGAGAGCCTGTTGAGCCGGCTCTACAAGGAATTCGCGGAAGCCGAGAGACGAGAATCGGGACTATCAACCCAGGAGTACCTGAGCAGTGACAATTCGGCCAGCCCAATGAATGTATGGCAGTCGTGTCTCTCGGGCGTCGGCACTCCGATGCGTCAGCAGCCCTTAATGAGGCGATATTCGAGCAGTGCGTATGAGGAAAATCTTCCGCCAACGAGCCTATTACACCAGATCACCAAAGATGTACAGCCATCGCCGAGGACAGAACATAAAAACGAACAAAAACTAGAACACCGAGGATCAAAAGCAATGGCGACCGGGGTAAATGAGAAGCGCTGCTACAAGACAGAGCTGTGTCGGCGCTACATGTCAAGTCCATCGGGAGCCTGTGAATATGGCAGCAAGTGCCAGTTTGCTCATGGGGTTGGAGAACTTCGTCTGCCACCCCGACATCCGAGGTACAAGACGGAAATATGCCACGCCTTCCACACCCTCGGCACCTGCCCCTATGGCCGGAGGTGCGCATTCATTCACAATGAAACCGATGAACGGCTGGCGGTAATCCGTCGGCAGAACCAGCTGTACCATGAGTTCCGTCAGGCGCACCCCAATGTAACTGACGTGAGAGTTTTTGATCTGATCGATGCTACAGGATATAAGAGAGGCATCCAAAGGCAGAATCATCTCAAACAACAGGAATCCCAAAAATGTTTTCCTCAAGAGGGCCAATGTAATCAGCTGACATATAGTCTAAATCAAGAGTTGGGTAGCAATTCTACAACTCTACAAAGTATGATCAATCGCCTGCGGAGCCTCTCTCTTCCTAGCGACTGAATAGATGAGCATGGGTAAATTAGCATCGATATTTGAGGGCATTCTAGAGTTTCTGACAAAACGGTACAGTTCTCTATGTCCATTCAGTTAACACAATCCTGTTTTAGAGTGCCTAAATCCTTGTTTCATTCCTAACATAAACTGTTCTTTATACTTCTTTATCTCAACCGATTTTTATTATCTCTATTTTTGTCTAGCTAACTATATAACGTTGCACATTTAACGATAATATCATAATGGTATAATTGAACGGAGTATTTATGAGTTCTTGTTTTTTATTCATTACTGGACAGAAGCTTAATTACATTCAGCTCTAGAGAAGATTTTACAAAATATAATGGAAGCCGCAAAAACGAGCGGGCATCAAGCGAGTTAATGGCCCGTCTACCAGTAGTGCAGCCTACTAAACTTTTTAAGAAGAACCTTGACAAACCTAGATGGTTTCAGATAGGAAAGTTCAGATCTACATCACAAATACATGACTCTGGTGTGCAGAAATCCTGGACCAAGCAAGGAATAAATGCGAATTTTTACGTTATCACACATCGTCAAAACTTCATCTGAAATTGTCCAATGGTAGGTTTTTAAGGTGATATTTTCATATTTTTGGTAACCTATTTAAGTAAATTTTAATCTGCCTGCAAAAGTGATTTAGTTCCTGAAATGCGTAACTAACTTAAAATTGATTGACACACCAATAATTAATCGAATGAGATATGCAAAGAATTCAGGACCGAAGCTTAGCCTGAGGACGACATTAGACGAACAAGAATGATCCAATCTCGAGATAACATTAAACTCTACAAAGCTACAATTATACTCAGAAAATTGTTGCAATAGAATGAGACGAAAAAAACGTAGTAAACCGATCTACTTTTTTATCTTTGTTGATAGATAGCTAAATACAGCATTTTTTCAACTGATCGCTGCCGATGAAGAGAATAAACCTACAATATAGTGTGCAAAAGATGATATTGTTAGGGGGAACTTCATTTCGAATGAAAGTACATGGTGAAGAGATTCGTTTGTCGTTCTCACCAG